GTGCATTTCGAGTTTTCATGTATGTTGGTATTGGGGTTTAGAATCTGTTTGGTTGTATTTTTACGTATTGAATATGGTTTGGATATTTTTAATTCAGGTTCAGTTATTTTGGATCAGCTTCAGATATTTAAATTTTGATAAATTAAAATTTCCATTGCTCAATTTCTTGTACTTGGAAATTTATCATTAATTTAAATGATTTTCTAATTTTTAATAGTTTGGACAATTAATAAGTTTAGAGATAAAAATTTTAAAATAAAAAATCACTAATTCAGTTATTGTTTTGATATTTTGGAAGCAATTTTTGTTAAAGGATTAAATAACAAGTTTAACATGCTTTTTACGTGAGTAGCAAATCATTTTGACTATATATATTTATCTTGAGTATGTGGAATATCAATATAAATACTTTGAATAAAATGAAAGAAATAAACCACGAGTATAGGTTTAAGTATACATATGTTTGATTATCTTCGAATATCCAGTAAGATTGAGATATTATCTATTTACGTTCATATATCTAAACTTTCTCAACTTAATATTCATTAAGGTATTTTGCTATTACAGTTTGAATTTTGATTTAAGTTTTTCAAGTTTGGTTTGTATACGGGTTCGAGTGTCGGTTAAAATATCCATACCTACATATATATTTTATTTAAGGTAAATAAGATTCTACGATCTTGGTAGTTTACAATAATTCCATATATTTTATAATTAATAACAAGATTTAGTGGTACTACTGTGAATACTTTAATAATTTATAAAAACCTCCAAACAAAGTTACTAAGGCTCTAACTTAGGCCTGGGCGTTTTTAACTTAACCCGAAATACCGACCTTAACCCGAACCGGAAAAACCGAAACCGAATCCGAACTGTTTTACAAAAATATTCGAATGGGACTTATGAGCTTAGTACTTTGGACTATGGTTATAATCCGAACCGAAATCCGAATTAGAATCCGAACATATCCGAAATTAGTTAAATATGTTAATGTTTTTATATATGTTAAGGTGATTTAGATATTTTAGAGTATTCAAAATATTTTTGTAGTTTGTTTTATTTGTTATTTTGAATACTTTTTAGTTAATTTAGATAGTTTAACTAATTTTTAATTAGATTTGTAAATAATTTATNGAACCGAAATCCGAATTAGAATCCGAACATATCCGAAATTAGTTAAATATGTTAATGTTTTTATATATGTTAAGGTGATTTAGATATTTTAGAGTATTCAAAATATTTTTGTAGTTTGTTTTATTTGTTATTTTGAATACTTTTTAGTTAATTTAGATAGTTTAACTAATTTTTAATTAGATTTGTAAATAATTTATATATTTCGAAACTTTTTTTGTCAATTTTCGAGGTTTTAAAAAATATATTTTTGGACGATTTTAAACATTGGTTAGATCCGATCCGAACCGAACCCAGAAGAAACCGAACCGAATCCGATCCGATAATTAGTAAGAACCAAATGGTACTTGTGAGCATAACACCGAAAATCCGAAAATCCAAATAACCCGAACCGAAACCGAATGGGACACCGAACGCCCATGCCTACTCTAACTGGTGACCATTAAAATATGAATATGAATGAGTAGGAAAATAGTAAGTAGGAATAAAATAAAATGAATGAAAAGGAATATTTATTACTTTGGTTTCATATCAATTTTGATAAGAAATGTTTTTGTTCTATAATTCCTTAGAATTCAAGGAATGACAAGGAATCATACGCATGAAATATTCCTTATGAATGGTGTATTTTTTAAGGAATAAGTAGGAATTGATTATTTCCCTTCATTCCCTATGTTACCATTTAGAGCCTAAATCTTGATATGTGATTTCCAAAAGCGGAATATCTTATGATCGAATATTTTAGTTATTAATAATATAACAAATATTTTGTTAATATGAAAGAATTTTTTTATTTAAAATACTTTTATATTTAAATGAGTCTTTTAAATTTGATTCAGATACGCAGTCAAATCGGTGAATCTGGTGATTCGATAATTCGGTTATGTTTTTAAAAATATACATATTTAAAACCTGTAAAATTCACTAGAACCTGAGACTAACCGATAGAATCGATGGATGATTGATATGTAAACGAATTTGATTTAAATTGTTATAGTTTCATACTTTGTCACCTTTTAATTCAAATTTTAAATTTTCTTATTTTATAATTATATGAAATTATGGCATTTCAACAAAATGTTGGTAGAAAAAATGATAGATATAAAATATTTAAGAACTATTAATTGTCTTGATCCTCTTAATTTTTCTATAGTTTAATTAAATTTATTTAACTGCTTTGTGTAAGTTATCTTGCTAATAATTTGGTTCATATTATAATCAGTTTTAAGTTGTTTTAAGCATATTTTTTTAAATAATACATATTTTGAACATTTTTCATAATTATTTTTATTATATTTATTGTACAGTGTAGTTATTTTCAAAGTATAGTGTTTGTATATATATATTATTCAATGACTATTATTGAGTTATTATGTAGCTTAAGTAAATAATATAACAATTCTTTATCAAATAAAAATAAAATAATCTGTTAAATTAATTGATTGTAATGTTTTAGTATCTAAACCTGCTAAATAAGTTTAATTTATTTTGTTTTATAGATAATTTGATTTTTTCAATTAATTAAGTTATCAAAATAATTTGAAAGAAAATTATAATGTTGTTTTATATCGCTTAGACACAAGATTAATTATAATGGTATTTTAAACATAGATAATAGTGTAAATAAAATAATATTAATGGTTTAAGGTATATATAACTAGGAGTTATAACTATAAATTAGAAAAAAAATGTATTTATTTTAAAAACTTATAAATGAAAGGTTAGGTCCAAATATGTGATTATGCTTTAATAAGACAGATTGATGATTGATAAATCTAAAGATTGTAAATAAAGATTAAAGGTAAGCCATGTATTTCAATCGAAGCAATCACCCTCATTATCAGTTACAAAACAAACAAAAAACCACCCTCATTATTCTGTGATTTTAAATTGTATAAAACATTTAACCGAAAATAAAAAGAAGAAAAGTGCTATAAATAAGAGTCCATGATAGGGCTGGAGAAATAAACCGAACCCGAAAATCCGAAACGAAACCGATCCGATAAAAATGAATCCGAACCGATCTGAACCCAACTTAAATACCGAATGGATCTTATTTTATGGTATTTCGAATTATGGGTATTATCCAAACTGAACCCGTAATTAAATGGATATCCGATAGAACCTGAAACATTCAATTTTTTTAATAAGAACGTGTACCGAACATGATCTTAATTTCTAATATATATCCAAAATACTTTAAGATATTACTAAACATCTAAACTTATTATCTATTGTATGAAGGTTGATGGTTGAAAGTGGCGGTTGAAACTTGAAATTGTTAGATTAAGGTTTTGTTTTTATTGAATAATGTTTCTTATTTTTTAAGAATTTGGTTTTCGTTTTATGCTTTCATTTATTTGGTTTTCTTTCTATTAATAACTATATTTACCTTTCACTTGATTTTGAATGATCATGTTTGATGTTCATTTCTTATTTTTAAATCAATTTTACTTATGTTTTGGGTTACAAAATAGTTACACATCAAGTATTTTAAATCCGAAGAACCGATTTTACTTATGTTTTGGTTACAAAGTAGGTACAAATCATGTATTTTAAAACTAAAGTACCGATTGGGACCCGAATCCGAAAGTATAAAGGGTTATACCGGTTCTTTAAAGATTTATAAACCCTTACCCTGACCGAACCGACAGAACTCAAACCGATCTTGAACTAAACTTTCAATTAATCTGAATTGAGCTAATTTTAATAAACCTAGAAAACCGAGACCTGACTGGACAAAACCAAAACTTGATTGGGATCCCGAATGCCTATGTCGAATCCACGGCTCTAGGCCAATACCAAATCCCTTCAGGAAGCTTTTGAGACATAAAACACGAATTCAAAGCGACGCAAGAACAACATAAAATGTATGTTCTTAAAAATTCGTAAATACTTTTTCGATTGAGTTACAAAAATGTTTTCTAACTCATGCAAAAAAAAAAATCCCGAGATGATCTTTTCACCGAAAAAGTTTCAGAAACTTAAATCTTGTCCAAAACATACATAAATTTATAATGGCTCGTAAAGGTTCGAAACATACATAAAAACTCTAAAATCGGAAAAAAAAAATTTAAAAAAAAAGAAAAAAAACTCTAAAATCGGAACTTATATACATGGTCAAAAACCAAATAAACACCATAACATATCAAAATGTCAAACAATTGATTTAGATTAAAGGTCTAATATGTTTTTAATATTAGTTTTCTTGTTTAAAGTGTTAAGTGTCAAATCTGTATTTTTATTGCTAACTTTAATCAATTTGTTGGTTTAATATGCAATTTTCCAATTTTAGTGTTTACTCAACAAAATATGGCTACTGTGCTAATTATACAATCTGTGTTAATTAATATATATCTATCACGTTAATCATATTATTAGTGTAAGTTAGTAATACCTTAAATTATCTAAATGTGTGCCTATATTAACCATATAGTTGATGTAGTTAGCCTATTCGGAACTGTGATTTCTCAAAGTTTTGAGAGAATTTTTTATTAAAATATTATTATTTTTGTTGGGTATTTTTTGAAAGACTTTTGATATGAATATCCTTATTGATACATTACATTCCATAATTCTGAGGTCATATGTTATTTTGTGTTTTTAAATTGTGGAAAACATTTAAACGAAAATAGAAAAGAAAAAAAAACTGCGCTATAAGTAAGAGATCTACGCCAGGACCAACCAAACCCTTTGAGGAAGCTTCTGAGACATAAAACACGGATTCAAAACGACGCAAGAACAACAGAAAATGTATGTTCTTAAAAATTCGTAAATCCTTTTTCGAATATGTTTTCTTTTTTTTTTTGTAAATATTGTTCTCCAACTTATGGAACAGGGAAAATGGTAGTAGTCATGCTTTGAAGCCGATGGACTCTGAGCAACTGAGAGAGTACGGACATCGAATGGTGGATTTCATTGCCGATTATTACAAAACCATCGAGACTTTCCCTGTCCGTAGCCAAGTTCAGGTCACTTTCTTTTCCCTGTGAAAATCAAATTTCATGTGGGTTTTGCACAATGTGGATATTTACTTGTCTCTGGTACAGCCTGGTTATCTTCATAACCTATTGCCTGAGTCAGCACCAGACCACCCTGAAACGGTGGAACAAGTTCTTGACGGTGAACTAACTAAAATACCCACTTCCAGTTTTTTTTTTTTGGGACCATTTCTTGTTGAGCACAGACAGATCTGAAGTGAGTTTTTGTTTTTGTTTTTTTTTCAGATGTCAAGGAGAAGATATTACCTGGAGTAACGCATTGGCAAAGCCCTAGTTTCTTTGCTTATTTCCCTATTAACGGCAGCGTTGCAGGGTTCTTGGGTGAGATGTTGGGTGCTGGTCTTAATACTATGAGTTTTGGTTGGGTTGCTTCCCCAGCTGCAACTGAGCTCGAAATAATCGTTCTTGATTGGGTTGCAAAACTGCTCAACCTGCCAGAGCAGTTTCTATCCAAAGGTTATTAGTTTTGACACGAATCTTGTTAGAATAATTATTTTATTTATTTTTGGTCAGAATAACCCTTTTGCTTAAGACCTCCTTATAAGCTGTATTTTAGGAAACGGAGGTGGAGTCATCCAAGGGTCAGCTAGTGAAGCTATTCTCGTTGTTATGATTGCTGCCCGAGAAAAGTTTTTAAGAAGCGTTGGAAAGAAAGCACTTGAGAAGCTTGTTGTCTACTCTTCTGACCAGACACATTCTTCTTTACATAAAGCTTGCCAGGTGCAAAATTGCAGATTTGATCAAAGAAAGCTTTGTTAAAAGCAGCTAAATTTTGGTTCCGCTGTTTTTGTTCTTGATAGATAGCCGGTATCCATCTAGAGAACTGCAGGGTGCTGAAAACAGATTCCTCTACAAATTATGCTCTGCGTCCAGAATCGCTCCACGAAGCTGTTTCTCAGGATCTTGAAGCTGGATTGATTCCATTCTTCTTATGTGGCACTGTAAGCACTGGCTAACCTCTTACTTACCCTCTGAAGCATACTTTTTCAGAAAGATTTCTTTTATTAAAATAAAAAAATAAAAAAGATTCTTTTATTATTTGCAGGTTGGAACAACTTCTTCAACAACAGTTGATCCACTAGCAGCACTGGGAAAGATTGCAAAGGTTATTTTATTTTGCATTTTAAGAAAGAACTTAATAGCATATAAAACTGATGCTATTTCTCTTGACTGCATTCTCAGAGCAATGAGATGTGGTTTCACGTGGATGCAGCGTATGCTGGAAGTGCTTGTATATGTCCAGAGTATCGACAGTACCTTGACGGAGTAGAAACTGCAGACTCTTTTGACATGAATGCTCACAAATGGTTGCTCACTAATTTCGAGTGTTCCCTTCTTTGGGTGAAGGTACATATATGCCCTTCTTTCAGTCTCACTTTCTCCTTTTTTTTTTTATTTTTTCATCTGGTATTCATACAATGTTGATGTTTGATAAATAGGATCAATCTGCTCTCACTGAAGCTCTTTCAACAAATCCAGAGTATCTCAAAAACAATGTAAGAAAACTTTTGAGATTATTTGCCAATACACCCCAAATAGGGTCTATATTAGTCATTTACCCATGATGATTTATTTTGTCTGACCAAATTGCCCTTCTTTCTCTCTCTTTCCTTCATGCATTTACATGTGGGTGTGTCAGTTGTGTCAGTTTTTTTTTTCATTTTCGTTATCAATGTTGTTCTCTCCTCTTATCATTTTCAAAATGAATTACATGCAAAATAAATATGTTAAATATTTTTGAGTTCACTTTGATTCTTAAATAATAATTTTAAATTTTAAATTTATTCAATGTGATTGGGAAATACAAAGTAGTGATACTTATTTGTTAACAACTAATACATAACACCTCTATTAAAAATATATAATTTTTATAAATATCTAACACATCTGTTAACACCTCTGATACGTATACTTGTTAACAACTAACACATCTGTTAACATCTGAAAAATGTATTTGTTAACAGCTAAAACCTCTGTTAACATCTACATTATTTGCTAACCGTTAACAACTTTGTTAACAATCGACACTGGTGATTATTAACATAGACATTAACTGTTAATAAATTTTATGAATGTTAACAGATGTGTTAGCTGTTAACAAATACATGTAATTTATCCGGTAACAAAACGTGTATCAGTTAACAAATTAGTTAACCGCTAACAATTAATCTAACACTATTATCGAATTTATAACAGATTGTAAATTTTAGAGATGTTGAAATCTTGCAATCAACTGTAATTTATGTTTTCAACTATATCAAATGTTAAATTATTTTATCTATTATATTTTTTTTTAAAAATAATAATAAGCAAAAGAGTGAGAATAAAAAGGAAAAATATGTTATTAGGAGATGCAATTAATAATTGCAGAGGAAGAAAATATAGTGTTAAGAAAGAAAGAGAATGTCAGATGAAGAAAGAGAATGTCTGGAAGAAAGAGAACGTTAGAAGGTTATTATGGTCCAATCTAATGTAAAATTGTAAAGCAAATTGCCTTTGTGTCAAATCATGGCTACTTCTCTAATATCAACACCAAATATGGGTATTTGACTAATTCTCTCAAAACTTTTTTTTATAATCTTTCTCTTCAAATCAGTATTTAATTTAAAACCAGGACCAAACCAGAGGTCGCACTGGTTAAATCATAAACTAGTATATCCGGGTTTGTTTTTTTTTCTTTTTTTTTTTAAATCATTACTAGATCTTGATCCGTGCGGTATTAATTTTCACTTTTAAAATATTTTTTTTATTTTGTATAAATTATATAATTTGAATTTATAGTTTGGTGCACAAAAAAACTTATAGTTTATACATACCATATAATTGTTTAGTATAATAATTTTAAACATTAAAATTCTATTTATTACATTAAATAATTATAGTTTATTTTGTAATAGTCAATTGTATCATCTATATTTCATATAAATTTATTGTATTCAGTTTCAGTTGAATTTTATTTATATGAAACTAACGGAATAACTTATATATTATATAAATGATTATTTTATGTGGTTTTTACTTTTTAGTTATTACTAATAAATATGAAAAATATAACTATATAATTTTAAAGCAATATTGTGTTTTAGTACACAAATACCTAAATGTTTATGTGGTTTGTACATGTTATTTTATGTTTATGTAAATTTATATTAATTTTATTTTTTAAATTATATCATCTTTATCATGTTTATTAATTAAGAACACACACATTCTAAATCAATTATATAAATGAATGTTGGGTTTTATATAAGTCTATTTGACCACATCCAATAAATACATAAAAAATTCAAAAAAAATATTTAAAATAATACAAAATACTAAAAAATATTTGAAATATTTATTGATTCTCCATCTAAATATTCAATCCAACCAATTTTATGTTAAGTTCAAGTATTTTGACATATATTGTTCAAATTTATATGTTATATAGTATTTTATTTTTAGATTTTTAGAAATGTGAAGTTAAATGCATTTTAAATTTCTAAACTAATTTTAATGGGTTATCCACCAAACTTGGGCCAAAATTTATAAATACCTAAATGAGATTAAAACCTTTAACTCTGAAAATCTTAAAAACGAATAGATCTGAAACGATCCGAACATGTATCTGAATATCTACCCCTTAGTTAGATTATAGGAAGTAATTCTTATTTAATCATACATGATTTCATTTATAGAACATAATTTATTTTTTAGCTATATTGTAGAAATTAGTTTAGTCACCAATATATGGAAAGATTATGATTTAAGTAACAAATGATTATGTCCAAATTTACCATATACAGTAGAACCTCTATAAATTAATAATCTCTATAAATTAATAAATTTTACCGGTCCCAGTTTGGGCCGGTGTAAAATATAACACAAATCGATAAAATAATAAGATAATAATGTTTTTAGAACTTTCATGTAAATATTTAGTCCCATTCAAAATCAAAAATTAATAATTTATCTTATATATTTTTTATATAAGTACAAACTAAATATTATATTGTTGGTTTTATATTCATAGTGAAAATACATCTATTTTTTCTTATAATTTCAATATATTTAGATAATATTTAGTAAACTTACATCGATAACCTAATAACAATTTTATGAAACATAAAAATATACACCAAATAAGATAATAAAACAATATGAAAGTCAAATTTTATATACGGTAAAATAAAATATTTTCTTATTTTATAAACAAAAATATTAGAGAACAGAAAAAAAAAATCTAAAAAGGAAACTTTTGTAAATTAATATCTCTATAAATTAATAAAATTGTAAAGCCCCAACATTATTAATTTATTGAGGTTTTACTGTATAGGATATTGCAAAACAATTTGTGATCAAAACTGATTCTATTGTTATTTATGATTTTAAATAAATAAAAAAATTGTTAACAATGAGAATCGTTTGTTATGATTTCGAAGAATATTTAGAGGTGTGTGTTTCTTAAATAGAATTGTTAGTTATGTTAAGGAAATCAAAATGTTTGTATAGTATTTTCTTTTACAACAATGTTTGTATAGTACATGTATAACTTAATACACTAAAAATAACTTAATACATTAAAAAATATATAAATAATAATAAATTTGATCACAGTTTTGTTAGTGCCGATAAACAAATATATGTATGAATAAGAAGAGTTACGCAGGTGAATGTTGAAATCAAATTTTATATTTTTAAAAATATTTTGGAGTCAGCAAATATATAAATAATTAAAATTTGACTTAGTTTTTATTATATCAGTGGACGCCTATTTAAATAAAGTTGTAATGGTTGGAATATTTCCTTTTAATAATGTATGTTTAGCTTATCAAAATTTTAATGGATGATAAATATTAATTAACATAGAATAAATTGAATTTTTTCTGCATTAATAAATGCATAAAGATAGGAGTAGTTATTACTTCAAGGGTATTACAATGTAAATAAGTGTTAATTAAATGGGTAAGTTTGTATTGGTACTTCACTTTTAATAATATAGATAACTATCACAAAAAAAACTTTTATGTTTTTACTGTATTCAGTTTTTAGAATTTTCATAACTCATGATGATAAATATTTAAAATCAAAATACTGATTTTATATTTGAATTTCAAATATTGATTTTTATTTAATTTTTAA